TGACTTGTGTCTTTCCTTGGGGAAAATTAGAACTCCTCTGCTAACCTGGTGGAAAATTTATTAAGGTACTTTGAAGGACAAGTAAAAATTTTCAATCCATTGAATCCCCTTTCCGAATAGCGCACAGGGTGTGTCACATGCATCAGTGGGTGTTTTGTCTTGGCAAGAGTGGGTCTTTCAGCCTAAAATAACCAAATTTGTTGTAGCCAAGCATTTTTAATTTAGAAGTTCAAAAGGTCGGCAACATAAAGAGTTTTGACTTATATTTTTTCTACTTTCTAACCTACTGTGAAAAGGCTTTATTGATTACCATGAGGTCGCATAATTCGTAAGTCATATAGCAGTTCAAAAAGTCTATAGACTCACCTGCAGAAGCAAACCATCACACTGGATGTAATTTAAAAGCATAATCTCAATACACCCTGTGTCTTACCATCCACAATATTTCACTCCTATTGCAACCTTCTGCTATTTGGCTGTGCTCGCAGCCTGCACAGAAATGAAATCAGACCTCTGTTACCAATGTACAAAGTGTGCTTTTGAATAACCAGACATAGCTAATGAGTTACCCATTGTCTGGGTCTGTGAGAAGCTGTTTCTAATTTTGCAATATAATTACCATACATCTGCCTACTGATTCACAGCTCAGCATAGGGATGTGTCAGAAAGCTAATCACAAACAAAATCATACTTTATCATGTCATTTCTGTGGAAAAAATAGACAATGATACTCAAACCATGACCGTCAGCGCACTCTGTGTGCTTTCTCTCCTAAACGTATACTAAACTATTAAAGAGTCAATGAAAATATGTCATCCACAAGTCTATCTATAATTATACATTAAAATGGTTGACTGCTCTTAGGTTTTCAATATTGTCAATTTACCGTTTTTGATTAATAAACAAGAGGCTGCCACTGAATGTTGTTTGACAAAGCAAACGATACGCTGAATGACTGAAAGCAATCACCTCTTCTGGCAAAGGAAGTGTCAGAGTCTGCACTATTAACAGAATAAAATGAAACACATTATTTCATTGAGGCTAAAAGAAAACATAGCTTGCGAACTCCAAGGAAGGTTTGTGTCTGCTAAACAAGTTTTCAACATTGCTGCCACCATTGTGGATCCACCACCTGTTCAGAAAGATTTAATCCCCATCACCCCCTACCCACACCCCCAAAACCACTTCACAAACTTATATTCCTTTCACTTGCTGACAAAACATTTGAACCCACCCTAACAAGCAAGTTGTCTACGATACATCAATAACTTTATCTGCGCAAATCCCTGGCCCAGCTGAATATAACCGAGAAAACATTTAATTCCTTTCCAGTGGTTAACACAAATATAGAAGTAGAAATTGGAAGCACCAGTATTTCAGCATGCAAGTAACAAAAGAAATTAAGACAAAAATTGAACATTCCTCTCCCAATAAACAAGCCCTCATTAACTGCATTTTTCCTTTGAACCTATAAGATAGCTGTCAATCCCTTTCTTTCCACTGACTGTATTTGCTCCTCATGGGTTTCCCATCCGCTGTTTAACTTCTTTCAATACTGTGAACTGCCACCATCCCTATTCCCCAAACCCCATCCATCCTCAATACATTTTCCATGAGCTCTTATTCCTCTTTCATGCTGATTGGTTTCTCTGCTTTCTTCTTCTCTCTGCTCTCCGTTCATCGTTGAAATTATATTCCTCTCACTTCTCTTTGGATTCCCCTTTTGCCTTTCTTTCTTCTCACTTTTCCCTCTCCCCTCCTTGGCTTTTCCTCCCCTTACCTTCTTGTCCCCTTACTCTCCCTTGTCATTTACCAGTTTGACTGCATGCTTGCAGCATGTCCACATATTAACTAGCTATTGCTGAGTAGGTTGCTGCATTCCATTTCAAAATGCCTTGAAAAGTGCCATGTTACAATATACTACTTTAACAGAGAATACCTGTATTAAATTGTCGTCATTTGACTATACATGTCACACTTATAAGTGGAATGGATATTTAAGATTTTTCATTGTTAAATGTCACATAACATTAGCTGCTGAACTAACGGAGGAAAGTTATATTTTGGAAATTCATGCCAAAAGGTGTGTGACTGCCTACAATTGCAAGCTCCAGCCATCAAGTGTCACTGTATAGGAACAAATTACTACAGATGCTGGAATCTGTACTTCAAACAACAAATGCTGGAGATTGCAGCAGGCCCGACAGCATCCAGAGAGAGACAGCAAGCCAGCATTTTGAGTCGTAGATGACTTTTCATCATAGCTGAAGTGAAGTGTGGAGGGGACAGCAGTTATGCTATAGTTTTGTTGGGGGGGGGGGGAAAAAAAAGAGTGTGGGGGAGTGGGTGTAGAGTGCTGGTGGAGAAAATATGTCATTATGTGAGAATTTCTGATCACTTAACCTGAACTACAAACGTCTTTTCTCCACCAGCACCTACACCCACTACCCCCACACCGCCTCCTCAAAGTATAGCATTACTGCTGTCCCCTCTACACTTCACTTCAGCTCTGACGAAGAGTCATCTAGGCTTGAAACGTTAGTTTGCTCTCCCTCCATGGATGCTCTCTGACCCGTTGTGATCTCCTTTGCTGTTTGAAGTGTCACTGTGTTACGGTCTCAGCTTGCATCAATACATAGCCACGTAAGTATCGACAAGTAAAAATTAAGGTTAGTGATATGGGGTGGAGAGTGCTGTATACAACAGCCCCATGCAATAAGTGTTTAAGTACATTCATTGGGTGCCATGCCACATGTAATTTTTGTGGCTGCAGGAAACTGTTTCATATTTATGCTGAGATAACAAGGTGGAGAGCTGGATGAACACAGCAGGCCAAGCAGCATCAGAGGAGCAGGAAAGCTGACATTTCGGGTCTGGACCCTTCTTCATATTTATGCTGAATGTTTTCATTTGCAGCCCTTATTTATTTTCTTAAAGAGGTTGTTTTTAAATTTTTGGTTGTACTTCAGCACCATGCTCCTGATCCATGGGCAACCCGTGCTGAGTGGGGTGGGTAGCTCAAAGTGCCTCCTTGTAGACCTGCTCCTGGGCCTGACCAAGGTGGCCATCAACAGGTCCAGGCAATGGACAGTGGAAGGGGGCATAACACAGCTTACATCTATGCTTGGGTGTCCATGAATAGGGATCATACAATGTCCATCAGAACAACAGAGGCCTTTAGTGACTAGTGGGTACTGCAGGGGCTGAGGTGCATATCACCCTGATCATATTTTTACTTAATTCAATAGGTCTCTGTTGGTAAATTTCCTTGAACCTTTGGACTTTTTATTACATAATCTCACCGGGGCAGTCTTAAACTATTATTTAACATTTAAAAGGATAGAAAGACTAAAGGGGAATGTTACTTTGCTTTAATCATTACAGCTTCACAACTCTGAGAAACCTGTTTGAACATCAACTGATTAACTATTTTTCTGTCCACTAAATGCTTCAAATATCGTCTAGCACAATCACTCTTTTGATCACCTGGGCAATTTCACATCTCATACAACAATATTTTGGATTGTGGTAGTCAATTGTGTGTAAACGTTGTCAGGTGCTGCTCAGAAGTCCCAATTTAGCATGGCAGCACCTGCTGTATTTGCTGTAGAAGACAACAGTGGGCAAAGAAGGTGCATGACTTACTGGCCTCTGATTTTTCTGGGCCCATGACCTTATCAGCCAGATGAGACTTTTGTTTCCACTTTCCAATGCCTTCCAAACAGTGAACCTGCAAAGGTCATGGCTCTCAGTGACTGTCTCCCATTTGTCAGTATCAATATCCACCATCTTTATATCTTGCTTCCCAGTGTAAAAATCAGTTTAAAAAGTAATACATGGAAATTAACAGGCTGATCATACTGGAGCTCCAATTTAAGGTAAATAACACTAGTCGGGGCAGGTCAATATATGCCATTCGCAAATTTTACTTGTTTTTCGTTCTGTGTTGCAGTTGCCCTTGTAGCCGAGGTATTGATGACGTTTTTCCACACTGTCTTACCTAGCTTGGACATAACTGGAGATTTTGCAATATAGGTGTTAATTTCAGCATCAAGTGACGGATTTCTGGTGATTGTGGAGCCTAAATATGCAAAGCTGTCAATAACTCCAGCATCATTTGTCAATGCTGACAGATTGCAGTATGGCAATATCATGGACTACGATGTTTGTCTTTCTGGTGAAGATCATCAAACAAAACTGTTCACAGTCATGAAAGAGTCTGTCTATTTACCACTACCTGTATTTCTCAGTATGCAATGTTAGTGTCACGTTGTTAATGTAGAGCAACTCTCTAATGAGGATTTGGATGTTAGGCAAGGCTGAACATCTTTCTGTCAGTTCTGGTGTGTAAGTAAACACACCCCCTGTAGACGACCTGAAGGCATATAAAAGCAGCAAAGGGAAAAATATGCTAAGTGTCAATGCCAAAGCACAACTCTGTTTGATCCCACTGCAGCTCAAAGGATCCCGATATTGCTTTGTCATAGCTGATCTTAGCAACAAGTTCTCGTGGAAAAAGGAGATCACATTACGTTGCTTCAACAGGCAGTTAATTTTCTCTGGCTAAAATAGACAGCTTCTGCTCACACAATCAAATTCCTTGGTTGATCAATTATTTCCTTTGTTCATGGCATTTCTCATACTTTCTGGACTGAGAAAATCACATCAATTGTAGATCTTCCAGCCTGAAACCACACTGGAATTTGGGACAGATGATGTTTCTCCAAAAGCTACAGTTTGATCTACATGGCAGTATTGGCATATACTTTTCTAAGATCCTAGCAGGGAGATGCTTCAACAGTTGTTGCAATTACTATGGTCACCCTTATTCTTGTATACAGTAAACTTTTACATCATGCATATCCTGGCACTCGTACCCTCCAGGAAATAGAGAGGTTTATTCAGATGCTGTAGGATTCAATTCCCCTGGCAGTTAAACATGCAGCATCTGGAGTTTTGCCTGTGACAAGCAAGTCACTAGCTCTGCCAAGCTCCTCCACAATGGGTTCAATATCCAACTTCGTAATGCAGGCAGGCTCTCCACAGTGTTTACAGCAATCATCATGACAGTGTTTTTGTTGGGCCTGTCTGCAGCCTTTGACATGACTGATCACATTATGCATCCCCAATGTTCTCCTCTATTCTCCAGATGTTTGGGACTAGACTCATCTGGTTCAGTTCCTAACTAACTATCTGATCATAGGCAGGTAAACTTCTGCAATGTCTTCACTTCCCACTCTCCCATCAGTAGCTCGAAGTTTTCACCAAGGATTCTTCCCTGGCCCCCTCTTACTTTTGCTCTGCAATTAGCCACAACATCATCCAAAATCAAAACAACTAGTGCCACGTGTGCTGACAACACCAGCTATAACTGACCATTACTTTTCTCAACACCACCACTCTGATTTTTCATACTGTTCAACACCCAGTACTGCAGGAAATTTCCCCCAACTAATATTGGAAAGAGTTGAAACCATTGTTTTTGTTCAGTGCACAAATTCCATTTTCTAGCCAACAACTCCATCTATCTCTGTGGTCATTACTAGAATGAACTAATTAATTTGAACTTTGGTTTGCTTTTTAACCCTGAGATAATATGGCAACCCCACTTCTGCAGGATTAGCTCCACAGTATTGCCCCTCCTGACTCTGCCTCAGATCATATGCTGTTGAAACACTTTTCCATGCCTTTGTCAACTGTAGATATGATTGTTTCAAAGCTCTCATGGCTGACTTTCCATTTTCCATCCACCATACATTGGAGCTCATCCAAAATAAAATTAAATGAAACAGGAGCAGCAGCAGGCCATTCAGCCATCAAACCTGTACTCACATTTAGTAAGATCATTGTTGATCCAATTATGGGTCTCCATTCTACTTTCCCGCTTGTTGACCATAATCTTGGATTCACTTAACATCAGAAATCTGTCTAATACAACCTTGAATTGAGTTAGGTCATTGAGCCAAGCGGGACAGAGAAAAGAGAAGGCTGTTGGTGTGGTAGTGACAGGAGGGAAACCTATGTGTAGCAAAATAGCACATTCCTATGATTAAACCATTTTAGCACACAAGCAGGCAGACCAGACAGTACAGTATGTTAATAAACTTGTATCAAGATTAATATTTGCCTTACATTAATAATAAAAATCATATATATTACACGTTAGCCTTAATGATAAACAAAAACTTTGGGCCCTCTTGTAGTGTAGTGGCAATATCCCTATCCCTGGACAAAGAGACCCAGGGTAAAGTCCCACCTATTCCAGACGTGTGTAATAACATCTCTGATCAGGTTGATTAGAAAAATAGGTTAAATTTTTTAAAACTACTCCTGGTCCTTCATTCTCACTTGATAACTTATTTGGCTTGAGCTGTGATTGTACAAAACCAGCTCAAATAATAAAGGGAAATTGACTACAGGTAGATTCCATTATATTTGGGGAGACAATGCCTAATGGTATTATCGCTAGACTGTTAATCCAGAGACACGTGAAATGTTCTGGGGACCTGGGCTCGAATCCCACCACAGGATATAGTGGAATTTGAAGCCAATAAAAATCTGGATTTAAGATTCTAATGACAGCCGTGAATCCATCGTCAATTGTCAGGAAAACCCATCTGGTTCACTAATGTGCTTTAGGGAAGGAATCTGTCATCTTACCTGGTCTGCCCACAGCAATGTGGTTGACTCTTAACTGCCTCTGGGCAAATAGAGATGGGCATTTAATACTGTCCCAGCCAGCGCCGCCCACATCCCACGAATTAATTTTAAAAATCACATGGTATTTATTTTCTTTCTTTTCTGCTTGTTTACAATTTTTAACGGTGCTAATAACCTTCCATTGTTGTTACCTTACTGAGGGGTGTGATTGGTAAAGATTTTTTCCCTGCAGGAACTTCATAAAGGTAACATTAAGCTAGTTTAATTATTTTCATACAGATGTGAACATGTAAGCATCACCAATCTAAATCTGCACATTCAGAAACTAGTGAAGCCAGAATAAAGTATTAAGTTTATAAGGGCCTGGTTTCCAACTTGATTTCAATCTATACAGGTTAGCTAAATGTTTTTAGATTTAAAAAGCTAATCAAGTTGAGAGTCAATATGAATTCTCACCATCCATGGCAGATTGCTCTTCAGATTCATCAGGAGATGGAAGCCACGATTTTGTCGTCTCAGGGCTTATTATCAACTGCTTGGATAAAGAATTATAACTCCGACTCTGGGCAAGTGTGGACCTAAAAGTACGATGTCAGAATTAATAAGATAGCATTCTGCAAAGCATAAATTCAAAGTAGTAGACTGACTCAAACTCTTAGTTTTCTCCTTTCTAGACACAACAGTCCATTGTCATAAGCATACTATCTGTCACAATCCATTAGCTTTTTAACAAATTGTTAAATGTGTTGATTTCTCTGCATTTTTTCACTTTTGTTCTGTAATAAATACTGCATGTGTTATTTTTGAGTTTTCAAAGCATTTAATCTGAAATTAAGGATACCAGTAAATATCACTTGGCAGATGTTCAAAACTGACTACTAAGATGGCTTCCCTCAGTTGGCTGAGAGCAGGATTAGTTTGGCCAATGCCATACACTGATAAATAGTTTGCCAACATTCCTGACAAGACTATGACATGAGTAATGACCAGTTAGACAGAATACTAGTTCCTGCCCCAGGACGACAGGGGGAAAGTCAATTTATGACAGAAAAATATCATAAACACACAACACAAAGGGCATAACAAAGTACAAATTAATGCTATCTTATCGGAAGTATGGCCTGTTTTCCATATTTCCTAGTAACTAGTAGTTAAATGCCCCACTTGATATTTAGCCACACAGGCTATATTGATACAAATTCAATCCCTTGACTAGTAAGAGATAGTCCATTTCTAATATTTTGCTGTACGTGTTTTCTGTCACTTTTCCTTATTTTTCTCGGGTGTAATACATAATGAAATTTTACTCTGTCACTCAAGACGACATTGGAAATGGTGCCTTTTCATTTTGGATCAGAATAACGAAGTTTAATTGAAGTAACTACATGCTTAAAAAATTGTTTCAAAGGATCAAGATAGAGTTTAAAAAGAGGACAACTGATGACACCTCCTCATCTGGTCTGAACAAATGTAAGTACTTTTTGTTTTCACACACATATGCCGAGATCACGTGCCAGAAAGAGGGAGCAATCGCTTAGCCAATTATGGGATTGAAACTCTTACACTGACACAGTACACCCAGATTCAGGTCAACCTCAATAAATGTATGTCAGCCAAGGTTGGTGAATGGCATAGGGAGATCCAAAAAAAGGTTTCAGGGAGGAAAAGAATTCTGAAAATTTCATCCTCTCCCAAAAATGAATGCTGACAAAATGTAAACAGGCTAATTTTTTTTTCTGACTGTCTTCTCATCTAAATGTCACTCTGGATATTGGATTGCTGAGTATTAAGAGTTTGAGGTGTGTACATTTTTGCTCTTACCTGTGAACTTCAGGAGGGGTGCGCTGAATTTTGGTGCTTGCTTCAATAACTTCTTTTGCAACTCTTCCACTACAAGCAACAACACAAACATGCTATTTTATACACATTTCTAGTTTCATCTTGTGAAAATAATGGGTAAAATCTTCTCAGACCCTGAATGATGTTGACTATGGTCAGAAATTTAGGAATGTAGGGTGAAATACCAAGTGAGGCTTTTCTTAATATTGATACTAATAGCTTGCATTTTCCAGCCAAATCCTGGATGTTGAGACAAGATTCTCACTAGTGAGTTATTGTTCATTGTCATCCTCATTAACATGCAGGCTCCCATTTTCCCACTTGTTCAATTGAAACTAGCCATTGAGAATTCCTGACGTGAAAACCTGAGCATGTACCGGAGCAACTCTTCACCACTTGCTTCTGTGGGCCTCCATCTTGGACACCTGGCACCAGCATATCAGGCAAGTTCACGGGCAGCAGTTATATACAATTCATGTCCATGGACGCTGGCATCTGACGTGTGCCAGCTTTCTGCATTATCGTGGCCGATCACCATTCCTCTTACCAAACGCGTCTGCACTTCAATGCTGTAATTTGGAGGGCACTGGCACCACTGACTGCAATGCTGCTGCAAAAACACTTTGTGCTCATGGACAGGCACTTATCTCGCTGACTGGGCCAGGCCAATCTCTTAGCACTCATTCACTTTGTGCCTACTTCAATGTTCACAGCATCCCAACTTGTCTTGCCTTGTGTTTTAGTATTTTGCCCTCAGCTGCACCTTAAAGGTTCACAGTACTTTGTCTTACATTGCTGTTTACTGCAGATACAATATCAGACAGCTGTTATGCTGGTCAGCAGTCATCTATCAAGAGGGGGTGAGTGCATATTTTGTTGCAAGGCAATGGCTTATGTCAATCTCACACCTGCTCCACGTGCCAGCCATATACATGCCATAAACACTGCATATGCATCAACCAAATGGCCATTTCTCAAAGTCTAATGGGCTAGTCCTATGGGAAGTAAAGTCCAGGGAGACTCTATTTAGTTATGGGATCCTAGGACAGTAAGTCAAAGGCAGCCTCCAATATAAGTCCAAGGGCTTAGGTATGTTAGGTGATCAGCCAGGAGATTAGTAGAGGCTGCCTAATGTTCATTGTTGTATTCAAAGTTCAGGTGGAGATCAAAGAGATGCATGGTTACTAGCATGTAGCCTTTAAGCTCTACCTTCATGGTTGTTGCTTTCAGTGCTAATTAGGCTTGCAGATTCCTGATAGTCCACTGGTTTGTGTCCTAGCTGATTATATGGATTGCTAAGATCTCACCCACATGTGTGGTAATGGTACTATAGAGCACAAACCTACTGTCATTTCTCTGGATGACTGCAGTCATGGCCCTAGCTAGTGTTCTAGTTTTCGCCTCTCAACCAGTCAACCAGATTGCTGTTCATCCATGCTTAAATGGTGCACTGTGAAAGTCCAGGGCAGTTCAAGGCATCAGACATCTCCCTGAATGGAAGCTAGCAATCTTTCACCAGCCATGCTGTGTTCATTGAGATAGCATTCTCGATGAGTACCAGGAAAAGACAGCTGTTAGTGCAGCCCTAATGAGAGGCACAAGAATGACTTGTTTTTGTTTTGCATTATTTATATGTTGTTGGATAAATTTGTTGACTGAAGAATTTACTTGTTGGACTTTACTGATTTTTGTTGGGCAATGGGACTTTCTGGTATTAAGGTGTAGTTAGGGAAAGGCGCATCTGAGTTAGAGTGGGAAGGTCTTTCCTGAAGAGAAATCTCACAATGCAATCAGTCACATTCTGTCCAGTTTTTGATGTTGGATCTAATCTCTGTTGTAAAAGGCCCTAAGGATCCCAAAGGGTTCATATTGAGAGTAAACTTGCAGGTAGAACAGCTTAAGATCTGAAAGAAGTCAGAACTAACACAAGGGTCATCCACATAGCTCCTATAAAATGTCTATCATATTAGTGTAACCTGTAACTAGTTGTTAACGTGAAGTAAACTACTTGGTCAATACAAGAGCCTCTTTTAATTAGACCAGGAAGTGGTTTGCCTCTACCACACTAGACAGAGCAGACCCTGTGTATCCACACTGAAGGAGAATAGTGGCTGCAAACTTGCTCCATGGTAAGATACAGACTTGTTTTAACGTCATGTACAACATGATGAGTCATGGTGTGAGATCGTCAGACTCATCTTAAATCATGCTGCAATTGCAAACAATAAGCAGCAGAGAAGAGCTGAAAATTTAGTAATCCCACAGAAGAAACTCTTGTGGCAAGGTTCGACAAGGAAAATATCCAATCAATGGTAAAAGCAATTTAAATCTAGTAAGAGATTTGCTGCAGGAGCTACTGAGCGAGCTGGTCGGGTGTCAAAGGGAAAAATATACTCGATCTCATCCTTACCAATCTGCAAGCTGCAAATGACAGTATCAGTAAGAGTGACCAGGCTTTGTGGAGATGAAATCCCGCCTTCACACTGAGAATAACCTCCATCATGTTGTGTGGCATTATCACCCTGCTAAATGGTACAGACTTCGAACAGGTCTAGCAACTCAAGAATGGCCATCCAGGAGGTGCTTTGGGCCATCAACAGCAGCAGAGTTGTACTCCAGCACAATCTGCAACGTCATATGCTCCAGTCAATCATTACCATCAAGCTATGGTTCCATGGAGAGTGCAGGAGGGCATGTCAGGAGCAATATCTGGCATACCTGAAAATGAGGCTACCAAACAGGACAACCATATGCCGAACAGCACAAGCAAGTGAAAGACAGAGCTAAGTAATCCCACAAACAACAGATCAAATCTAAGCTCTGCAGTCCTGCCATATCCAACCATGAATGGTGGTAGATAATTAAAAACTCACTGGAGGAGGAGACTCCACAAATATCCCTATCATGAATGATGGAAGAGACCAATGCATCAGCGCAAAAGGTAGTGTTGAAACATTCACAGCAATCTTCAGCCAGAAGTGGCAAGTGGAAGATCCACCTCAGCTGCCTACAGTAATCCTCCGCATCACAGATACCAGTCTTCAGCTGATTCAGTTCACACCATGTGATATCAAGAAACAGTTGGAGGCACTGAATAGGGCTATGGACCCTGACAACATTCACACAATATAGTGCTGAAGACTTGTGCTCCATTATTTGCCAACTCCTAAGCCAAGCTGTTCCAGTATAGTTACAACACTGGTATCTACCTGACAATGTGGAAAATTGCCCAGTTATGTCCTGTACACAAAAAGCAGAGCAAATCCAACCTAGCCAATTACTGTCCCAACAGTCTTCTCTTGATCATCAGCAAAGTGGTGAAAGGTGTCATCAACAGTGCTAACAAGCAGCACCTGCTCACTGACACCAGTTTGGGTTCCACAAGGGTCACTTGGCTCCTGACCGGATTAAATCTTGGTTCAAACATGGACAAAAGAGCTGAATTCCAAAAGTGAGGTGAGAGTGACATCCTTTGATAGCAAGGTCGCATTCAGCCAAGTGTGGCATCAAGGAGCACTAGCAAAACTGGAACAAGTGGGTATTGGGGGCAAACTTTCCACTGTTTGGAGTCATACCTGGCACATAGGAAGATGGCTGTCATTGTTTGAGGTCAGTATATCAACTTCAGGATATCTCTGCAGGAGTTGTCAGGGTAGTGTCCTAGGCCTAACCATCTTCAGCTGTTTCACAATTGAACATCCCTCCGTCATAGGTCATTCACAAGCTTCCACTCTCTCCATCAATGACACTCAGTAACAGCGGTGTGCATCTACAAGATGCACTGCACAAGTCACCAAGGATCCTTAGACAGCGCCTTCCAAACCCATAATCATTTCCATCTAGAAGGATGAGGGCAGTATATATATGGGAACGCCACCAGCTTCAAGTTCCCCTCCAAGCAACTCATCATTCTGATTTGGAAATATATCACCGTTCCTTCACTATAACGGAGTCAAAATCCTAGAATTCCCTCCCTAACGGCATTATGGATCTACCTACACCATGTGTACTGCAACAGTTTAAGAAGGCAGCTCACCACCATGTTTGCAAAGCCAACCAGGGACAGGCAATAAAGGCATCGCTGTCTGGCTGGCATATGTCTCACGAATGAATAAAATAAGAGGATAATTAGGAACTCCACAGAGCAGGAGAACTAATAACTCCTAAGCAAATGCACACTGCACTGTTTGGTGGTGGTCTGTAGGAGGTGCCCCAAGTCAGGGTTTATCTGGGGCATGAACAGTAATCAGAGGCTCCATGAGCAAAGTTAGGGTCTCCAGTGGGCTAGGAATAACCGTAAAAACCTCAAGGAACAACACAGAACACAGGTTGGAAAGTAGTACTTATCTCCTAATTAACCATTACCACCATAGCTGGCAGATACCATGAGGCATGACTACAGCATGGGAAATCAAGGGCCACAAAGGCAACCTAAACTGAGGGCACAGATCTGAGGCTAGAGCAAAGCCAAAATTAAAGCAACAAAAGGAGCAAATTAGAGGCAGCCCAGTTCAAAAAGCAGCAATTTTGGTGGTGGGGAATACTTTTAGAAAGTATTATTTACAGTTTTAGAGTCATAGACACATAGAATCGTACAGCACAGAAACAGACCCATCGGTCCAACTCATCCATGCCGACCAGGTTCCCCAAACTAAACTAGTCCCACTTGCCTGCATTTGGCCCATATCCCTCCAAACTTTTCCTATACATGTACCTATCCAAAGAACTATGTACCTGAACCCCTAGGTCTCTCTGTTTGACAACACTACCCAGGCCCCTACCATTAACTGGTTAAGTCCTGTCCTTGTTGGTTTTATCGAAATGCAATACCTTGCATTTCCAAATTAAACTCTATCTGCAACTCCTTAGCCCACTGACCCAATTGATCAAGATCGCTTTGTAATCTTAGATAAACTTCTTCACTGTCAACTATACCAGCAATCTTGATGTCATCCGCAAACATACTAACCATGCCTCCTCAATTCTCATCCAAATTGTTTACATAAATGACAAACAGAAGTGGACCCATCATCGATTCCTGCAGAACACCA